TCTCTTAGAGCGTTCTTGGGGCCCTCTTGGGCCGTCTTGGAGGCCTCTTGGGCCGTCTTGGAACCCTCTTGGGCAGCCTTGGGGCCCCGTCGGAGGCCTCTCGGGCCTCTTAACTTTAAACGGAGAAGGTTAAAGGCGAGGTATAAATCGAGCATGTACCGCTGCCGTGCCTGGCTCAAGCCGGGCCCGGCCAAATATATGACTGTGCCTCACCGAGGCGCACGACTGGTATCTGAGATCGGAAAATACCTTTTCCATTGAAGATGCCCCTTCTATCCTTTACTCCAGATCCCATGCTTCGTCTCGCTCTCTTGCTCATGCGATATGAGCCAAAGCCTGGGATATGGCAACGCTTAAAGCGTAACACATACCTAAGCTTACCAGCATGTTTTCGACTTGGTAGCGGAGCTGGCTACACTCTCGTGTGGCTGGCTCTCGCTCTGATTCCTGTAATCCACGGCACAACTTGGTGGACTACTACTACGGTGGAATACCATGTTGCGCCGGCTCTGCGAGGAGCGGAGCCAGTCCGCGATCGAGCTAGCGGGGCAACCCGCGAACTCGAGACGCTCTCTCCTACTTCACTGCGCTACTTCACTCCCGACTTCCACCAGATGCCAATCGGCAACTCGATCGAGAACGTGGTCACCCTGCGGGGCTACCCGCAGCGGGGCCACCTGCATCCCGTGCCAGTCAGGCGCCTCACGGCTACTACGCCAGAGCCTGACAAACCACAGCCTAAACCAATCACCGAAGCCGAAATGCACATGCACTGGATTAAGATAACTATCTTCGGCATTCTGTGGGTAATAATGGGATGTGCTGTGGGATACATGCGGCAGGGGATGGACGACACGCGTACTACTGGCCCTTCGTGGGACCCTGCCGGTACTACGCCTTTTCGCGAATACGTTCGCGAAGTACATGCATGGATAAACGTAACGAGCGGCAATATGACGCCACCTCAACAAGCTGCAGCACTACAACGAGGCCTTCAAGGTCTTGCTCGTCGTATCGCCATGCAGGTCCCCTCCCAGATCATCAATTATGGTGTAACTGTCAATGGACAGCCAACGGATGCAGTTACTTATATACTGTACCTACTGAGCACCAAATTTGAAAATCTGGAAGATGAGCGCCAGCTCAACTCTGGCACTGCCCTTATCGACTTTCGCGTCGAAAGGGGCGAGCGAATCGACTCAGTGTTAGCTCGATTCGAGATGGCCCGTGACGAGGCTAACTCTGTTGGCTTTGTCATCCCCAACTTTCAGATCCTAACGCTGATCCTTTTCAGAGCGTTAGGCGTTGGCGCGTCACGAGCCCAACACCTGCTGGAGCCCTTTAATCATCAGATGCCCAGAACACAAGCAGACTATGACAGGCTGCTGACCAGGATGAGGAACTACGGACATGTTGCCGAGCGCTCTCCTGGCAACATTGCGGGTATCTTCACAGGGCACCACTCACATGCAGGTGTCTACGCCACGACTGCGGGGTCACCCGCTGGTCCTGGCGAGCCAAGTCCCTGGGCTGACCCAGCCGATATGCCCAACGAGGCCACTGCCTTCTTAGGGCAGACTGGCCAGGCATCGGCAGAGGCAGCTGAGGCGAACGCCTGGTCGAACTACTCGCCAGGCGCCGCCTACACTGCAAGCCCGCCCTCGGGCACAACCCTCTGGGGCCAAGCGGAGTCATCCGCTCAAGGGTCTCAGCCACCCTCACCGTTTGAATCTGGCACTGACACAGATACCTCATCTGACGATGAGCACAATGGCATAGTCTCTGCTGGTAATGACTATCCAGCGGATGACACTCACCTTTCTGAACAACAAAGAGCGGAAGCCGCTTTTATGGCTTATCGCAAATCAAAACGCCGTTGGAGGCGCTTTATGAAGAAACCAGTCAGAAAAGTGAGACGTGCAGTACGCCGACATTTCAAACGATATGGAAAGGGTCGTGGCAAAGGGGGTCGCAGACGCCGTATGCATGGTAGGGGTATTACTGCTTTCCTCACGTCCTTAACTGATATAGTTTTTGAAGAAGTTCTTATCGGAGGCAAAGGTCGGGGTCACAGGCGGACCTCTGGTAAGGGAAAAGGGCGGAGGGGCAACCCTAGGGGCGCTTCTGGCAATACTATGAAGTGTCATACATGCGGTAGTACAGAGCATTTGCGCGATCAATGCCCGAAAGGGAAAGGAAAGGGATCCGTACATTTGGCTCAAAACTCTTTTATGGATGACATAGACTACATTGACTACGAGTTTTACGTCAATCCAGAAGCGGCTCCCGCCGCGGGCTCCTCCACGTATTACGTGATGGCCCGCTACGCTGAAGTGACCGTAGCCCTGGAAGACTACGCGGTGACCCTCTTCGACGAGTTCCACGGCTGGGACGAAGTCGACGAGGTCGCGTTCAATGCCTGGTTCGGTCTTCCAGCGGGGCCACCCGCCGACGACGAGATCTCCGATGCTGAGACCGTCCCGGCGACCGAGGAAGAGCTCGCCGCCGCGCTGGCACCGCAGGTGATTGGCATGCCGTTGCTGCCAGATCTTCCGCGAGCTGGCTCGGAAGCGGGAGACGCTGATGACGAAATGCGGGGCCATCCCGCGTATTCTGACTCTGAAGAGGCCGAAGAGGACTATAAGGACATGCTCCAAGAGCAGGTCGCAGAAGCAATCCGGCTCCTGAGTGCGCCAGCACATCAGCAGATAACCATGAACGACCTGCTGTCGCGCCCAGGGGCCGCAAGGCTGCGTCCATACCTGGATTCGGACATGTCGGCACCTCAGATGCTGACAGCACTCCAGGCTCTAGCGGGGTCACCCGCCGAAGAGACGCCAGCCGCAGCAGCGGGGCCACCCGCTTGGTCTATGGATGTATTCATGCAGGGCTGCGACCAGATGGACCTCAACGACCTCACGATGGAGCAGCTCAACGACATCGGGTACTTCCGAAGCCCGTATCAGCACGTATTCATGGTCCAGGACAGCTCAGAGGACTCGGAGGACATGCGCCATGCCAAGAGGGACAGACGACCATCGCCTCCCCGAGACTCAGAGCATGACGATCAAAGGCCCATGGAACGTGGCAGTGCGTCAGCGGGGCCAGCCCGCAGAAGGAGCCGTTCAGCTCCACGACGCCCTACACATGATGCATCGGGCTACCCGTACAGTACGGAGCACTCCGTAGGTGTATCCGCTCAGTACGTGCCGGAGTGGTACATCAATTGGTACCCCGGCTACTCGATGGACGTGATCCGCCACTGGTATTCTAAGGAGTACTGCACCAAAAGGGACGAATCTGGCATGATAATACGTACCAAGGGTGGCAAGACTAAAACGCCAGAGGCTTGGGACAAAAGGGCTAAGAAACAGGAGATAATCAACGATCGCAAGACATACAGGAAACAAGTATGTCAATGCGAGCCCTTCAAAGGTCACATGCGCAGCTGTCCAATGGACCGCCCCTCCAGGAGTCCTCATCACGGTGAGACCCCGTGGAATTGGTCTCATGGAGATGACGCTGGCAACGTCCATGATCCTAACAAGGAGGTCCCTGGAGGAGGAAAGCGCATCACTGAAGCCGATCGCGTCCCTATGACCGAGGAGGTTGCCAACACTGTCAGGGAAAATTGGGTACAGCTTCCCAATGACCATCGCCTCAAGGAATGGAACCGCCGATTCCATAAAGAGGCGGGGTCACCCGCAGAATCCAGCAAAGAAGCGGGGTCACCCGCAGACGCGGCGCCAGCCGCTGGGTCCGCGGACGAAGATTGGATAGCTGTTGCATCTGCTGCCGGATCCGCCGCCGGCACTGACCAAACCGAACTGAATGAAGAATGGGCGGCGGAAGACGGCTCAGAGAATCCATTCCCTGATGGGTGCGCCTGCTGGTACTACAGCTCCTCGGCACAGAAGTGGTTTTGCACAAGGGTTATTCACCGCCACGAAAATGGCAAGTACAAGCTGGCCATAAAAGGCACTGCCGACATCGACCATATGAGGCAGATCATCCATGATCATGGCCAGCCAGAAGGCCCTCCTAAGGACCCTCCTGGTCCACAACCAGGCAAGGGCAGCAGACCACCTCCAAGACCTGAAGCCGACTCCTCTTCTTCACCGACTCCTGCGAAGAGACACCCGTCCAAGAGCCCCGAAGACACACAGGGGCGTGCGAAGGCCAGAGGGATCGCCAAGAAGGGCGACCCTGAGCAGGGAGAGCCTACCGGCCCGTCCGTGACGGAGAGGAGGAAGGCTTTTGCTGGACCATCGACCCCGATGCCACCGGCTGCCCAAGGCGATGTCAAGGGCGAAATTCGCAATCAGCCTAAGGCAGCCTTCCGAGGTGACTGGACTCCAACTCTGCATCAGCCGCGCCTTGCGCCACGACCAGGTTCGGCACGAATGAAAGCACAGCCGAAGCCCGAAGCTGGGATGAGGTCGGTGCGGGCAGAAGCAGCCGCCAAAGCTAAGGAGGACAAGGGCTCTGCGGGGCCACCCGCTAAAGCGGCGCCAGCTGCAGCAGCGGGGACACCCGCAGAAAGCACTCTTTCAAGAGAAGAACGCTTCAGAGCCCTCAAAGAATTTGGCGACCGACAGAAACTAGCCGACGATGCAGTGGCTGACCAAGGTCACCCGCACCCTGGCGCGGAGTCATCCGCTGGAGCTGCCTCGTCAGCCGCAGGTTCTGCAGGGCCACCCGTTAAAGCGCCGCCAGCTGCATTAGCGGGGCCACCCGCGCGCTGGCAGCCAGTGATGTCTGTTCTTAGGAACATCCCTCTGGGAGCCATTGAATATTGGCAAGGCATTGAAGGCAAAGGCCCGAAGCGCACCATAAACCCACGAGTCACTCGAGACGATACAGATCGATACGAGGTCATTAATTGCCCTGATCGTCGTAACTTCGAGTGCCGCAACGACTGGGAACGTGAACAACAAGCCGTGGGAAATATGTTGCGAGACAGGCCGCCATTGCGCGTCGCGCAGCACAGGGCAGAGCTCATGAAGGTCATGGAGAGGTTCGGCATGGATCCGACTCTGCCGCGCGATGGGCAAATGACCAAGGTGTCAATATGGTTCTCTACAGCCCTACGCCATAGTCCGTATTGGAAGGATGGATTCAGCCGACACTTCGAAAAGATTAGCACTTTCGATCCATACGATGGCTGGGTTGTTGTTGACGATTTGCTGACAAACTGGACTGAAAATGATCAGTGGAAAGGCTATCGTGAAATGCACGAGGTGCTGATCAAGGGCAGGCCCCACACGTCATACGTGTATTGGGTGCTGCTAAACTGCTGTGAGATGATTGACCATCACGGCATGCAGAAGGGCAGGCTCCAGATGAAGTGCGTTGATGACAGCATGCTGCTGCCTCCCAGGTTTCGACCAACGGCACGCAGGCCACAGTACTTCATCAGAGCCACGAACGGCCACAGCAGTCCAGGCATCCACTGTCCCGAGTCGCTTTATAAGCCGATCACAACATGGATGAAAGAACCAGACGACCCAGTATATTTCATCCACGGGACACAGTGGGAATATGTCAAGGACATCCTTGCTAATGGCCTTTCATGCCTCGCACAGGACAACCCTAAAAGGAAGGGGGGGCGCCAATTTGTACACGGCTGCCCCTACCTCCCGGGCGACCCGAGGATTCAATCGGGCATCCGTCCTGACTCGGAGGTGCTCATATTCTGCAGCATCAACAAGATGCTGTCCAGTGGCTTCTCCCTATGGAGGTCAGCAAATGACATCGTCATGACACGGGGCCACGACGGCCGTATACCGCCCGATCATATCCTCCAGATTGTGAGCATTGCGAAATATCGGGTCGGTGAAGCCTGGAGCAATCCGCTGGCGTATGACAAATCGCGGAGGCGGGGCCAACCCGCAGACAGGATTCGCACCGATGACTACCTGCCACTTAAACTATGTGACAAAACTCTGGGTGTAATGGAAGATCACGCCATGTACCTAAAGGGATGGTCTAAGACGGACGGTCGCCCATTCAACTTGATCATGACCGAGCAAGATGTTGCTCCACGACCGTGCGACACACAGACGGTCCCTATGATAAATGCCCAGGAAGACGAGGTCATGCCTGAGGCGGGGCCACCCGCAGGTGCGGGGACACCCGCGGTAGACACCTCGGACGGTTCATGGCAACAAGTGGTCACACCAGTAGCAACGGTAGCATCTCCTTGGAGGCCGGATCAGCAGGCATGGGTCCAGGCCCTCAACAGCTACTTGACACCAGCCGACGTTTCTGGACTGACCGATCAGCTATATCGTGCTGACCCGTGGGCAGTGCATACAGGTATCCAAGACGCACAGCAGAGGAACCTGCGCACTCCTGCGGGGCCACCAGGCGTCCTAGGACCACAGCCACAACGCCCTCCGCAGCAGGCTGGAGGTGCGAGGTTTGTCCCTATGGGCGGCTCAGATGGTGGCTCGCCGTTTCGGACTCCGCCGTCTGAAACGAGCGAGAACAGCTTGTGGCAAAGACTCCAGGCGATTCGCGGGAATCCGGCACTCGCAGCAGCACTCCAAGCAACCACTCCCTTTGGCACTCCGAGGGGTAGTGAAGGAGGAGTGGCTGCGGGGTCACCCGCCGAGCGAACGCCTGCGGAGCCACCCGCTCAAGCGGGGCCACCCGCTGACGGACAGCAAGGTTCAGACTACGAACGTCGGGCAGCCAACTTAAGAGCACAGGCTACTTTTCTGCAGCAACAAGCTGATAGAGTGCCCAGCCTGTTGCGGAACCGCAACATAGATGTTACGAATCATGGCGACTTTCGGCCTCTCTGGAGCTGGACTTCTGAAGATGCTCCAAATGCTGATCCCACGAATCCATATCGACAGGTGTTTATTCCAGGAATAGCATCACACCCGATATATGGATGGGACAATCACGGTCCAGCAGAGGCACAGGCCATGGACGCGCCGATGTACCCGGAGTACTACGCGCAGATGAATAACACTCCTATGATTGCGGGGCCACCTGCGAACGAATACACTCGGAATCTAGCCAATGAGATGTTTCGTTTGCAGTTTACACGAGCGGTCGATGCGCAGTCTATGCCGCACTACGCCTACATGCCCACGCCGACGGACCCCGAGACCGTAGTTCAGCCAGCTGGTCTCGCGGTGCCAGCCGCTATGGGCAACGTGCCAGACTACATCCGCGACGTGCACAACACGCAGCAAGCGATACTGGCATCCAGGCAGCAGGCTCGGGACAACACCAGGCTGCGCCAACAACGCGCGATCCAGAGAAGGATTGAGCGTGAGACCCAAGCGGGGACACCCGCAGAAGCGGGGCCACCCGCTGAACGGCCAGACAGACGGCCGCCACCGACGCCATATCGGGAGGGCGAAACCACTTTTGAGCGCCAAGCTCGGACTCGCCCTGACGTGCCTGCTCCAGTCATTTCAGACTACAACTTCACACAGTGCCCAATCTGCATGGACAACTACGAGATGGGCACTACAGTGTGGAGACTGGCGTGTGGGCACTTCTTTCACGATATATGCTGGGATCGTGTTGCACAGCAGCACGTCCGCAATCAGCGGCCAGGTGCGCCGAATGAGGCCCCCTGCGCTGTATGTCGTGGGCCGGGCATAGTTATAGCGCACTTCCCGTGTGCTGGACAGCGCGACGCTGAATCAGAACAAGCGCGCCAGCAGGAAAGGTACGTGGCAGATGCCCGGGAATTGCGTCGGCTACGTGAAGCAGTGGAGGCACTGGAGGCTCGAGCCGCACAATCGGCGGAGCCATCCGCACGTGCCCCAGCTGCGCAGGCATGCCCCTGGCCAGCGCCAGAGCAAGGCATTCAGATGCCCATCCTGCCTACGCTTCGAGCGCAGGAGCCCCCAGCTGCGGGGCCACCCGCTGAAGCGGCTCCCGCCGCACAAGCGGGGCCACCCGCAAATGGACCTCCAAATCCAGGTTTCCTGAGGGCAATGGAGGCCAACATCAGGCGGAGTGGCAGGAGCGGAGGCGGAACTCGAAGGCCAACTGGATCAACCAGGACCTCGCGAGTGGCAAGCCCGGTCAGCGCCAGGAGCCGGGCAAGCGCTGAGAGCGCAGAGGCAGCCCAGTTCCATACCACATGCATGATCGATACAGAAGGGCTGACCTACGCACGTGACGACACGGACACGCTGCCACCAGGAGGTGAATGGATGTCCACGCTATCTGCGAATTATTGGGTTCTTGAACAGGAACCAATTACCGTGGAGGAGCGCCGCCAGTAGGAGCAGATGTGGTGCACCGAGCTAACCATGAGTCAATGGGTTCTTGAACAGCGCCTGTTGAAGGGCACACTCGGATCGCAGATCACGTACCACACCAATGACCATGGGACAATCGCTCTGGCAGCGCGCAATGGGACATTCTTTCCTGACGAAGACGGTGCGCCCTGCATCTCGTTCATGCTAGACATTGGTTCCAATGTGAACATCATTGGATCCAATACGGCGCGAACCTTCCAGGATATTATGGCCAGGTACAATTGCCGACCTGCCATATGCACCCTGAGCAAGACCCTCTACATCGATGGTGTTGGTGAGGGCGCTGCGATATGTCGGAAGATGGGCAACTTCAAGATCGGGGTACAATATGCCAATGAGGCGAGCCCCCGTATTGAGGAGTATGCCTCCAACATCGCAGAAGGCTCGGGTGCCAATCTCCCGGCCATCTGGGGCCTAGGAGCCATGGAAGCACGTGATACGATCATCGTGCTGAAGCCAGGCTACCAGAAGGTTATCTTCCCCAGCGGTGACTACACCCTGAAGCTGGGAAGAGGCGCCAAGGTCCTGAAGGCGAAGAAAACTCCCTCGGGACATCTCGCGATTCCCTGCGGTTTGTATGACGGGGCTAAAAGCCAGACGGTCACGAACACCTTCACAATCCGCAGCAGTCGAGATGGCTATACCGAGACGGAGAACGAAGAGGACCCCGTCAGTGCGGGGCCACCCGCCGAAGCAACAGCGGGGCCACCCGCGACGGGACAGTCCATGACCGTCACGACCGATACGTACATTGTCGAGCCGTACATCGACAAGCAGCTCCTGGAAGACACGACCCGTTTGATCGTGGACAGGACGCTGAACAGCTGGTGGGAGGGCCAACAGTGTCCCGAAGGGACCTGGCCACATATGAAGGATGCTCTGAAGTCTAAGATATTCTGGGCAGTCCAGGAGGCGGTGAATAAATGGACACCTGAGGACCAAGCGGGGCCACCCGCGTCACCGCCACCACCACCAAGCTACACGGGCGGAGGTTCGTCGGACTCTGCGGGGCCAACCCGCGTGGAGATCGTGAGCGTAGCCACACCAGCGACTCCTGCGGAGCCATCCGCTAACAGCATGCCTCCGAGTCAGACGGCAACGTGGTCACACGACCGCCGCTGACGGGGGCAGGCGGGCGCGCCGGCGGCGCTCGCTTGCGAAGAGAAGCCGAATACCGGCCTCCTCGCTACATACGTTGGCCGCGCTGAGGCCCGAGAGGAAAAATATCATTCAAAATGTCTTGTCATCGAAGATATTCGCACAGCTTGCGCTGAACTCCGAACCCGTGGATATATATGCGACCGGATTACCCATAATGAGGTAATGACTTCAACTGGAACACAGTATTTGGGAAATTTGTTGGCAGGAGACTACAATATGTTGTGGGTGGCCACGCCCTCTGATTGGTACGTTCGTACTCCAGGAAAGAGGGCGGGACCACACTATCAACGTATACAAAATCTCCTGATCAAAGCGCGTGCTCTGGGATGCAGATTGTTATCCTGGGGCCACCCGGGTATTTCTGGAAACAAGGTCCGATCAAAGATGTTATCGAAGATTTGAAGTTAAGCATTATACGAATGAGACTCTGTCATTTCGGTATCAAGTTTGACCGCTCCAGTAAATATCCCAGTGGTTCTTATATACAAGTTGCTACATCTTGTCCTCATATACCGATAAACTTATGGAGATGTACTTGTGGCTCACACAAAGAGCATGATTTGGATTGGTATGGCCAAGATCAGCAACGTGCCGAGTTCCGGCATAAAACCTTGGCTATCATCACTGCACGCTTCCTTGATCAACTCAATAAAGCCAACGTGATTAGGAATGAGCGGAGTGCGGTACACCTCAGTGTGTGTACGCGCGTTGACAAAAAGGTAAGACACTACGTTCAATGTCCACAAAAGGGCCCTCAATGGGACCATGTTGTTCGTAGAGTCACGACCGACCTGGACACGAATAAGATCGTTCAAGATATCAAAATCCAGGATCAGCCGACTGGGTACAATTATGTAGCTCCATTACCTGATGGGGTTACAAACATCAGTACTCGGTTATACTGGGAGCCTCCGGCTCCAGTTCTTCACGGCGATGGTGAGTCGCGAAGGCCACGCCCAAAGCGTGTGACGATCGTCGACGACGATCGGTCTCCTCCCCCTTCGATTGAGCGTTGCCAAACGCGACCCACCAACTTTCCTGAAATTCCGCCATTTCCTGACTTAACAGCGGATCCTTCCGCAGCGAATCCCTCCGCAGCGGATCTCTCCGCGGAAACTGCGCTGCCCACTGATGCCAGGATAAAACAGAAAGAAAAGCAGAAAGCTGACAAAGAAGCCGGCATCAAACCGAAGAAAATCCCGAAGAAAGTGGAAGACGGTAGCGACGACTGTGGAGAGGACCTCAAAGGGCTTGACTGCTCCACATATTTCAACGACGTTCCTCTTGACGACTCGGACTCGGACAGCGAATCAGAGGACATCTTCATGATGTTACCGGCGGGGCAACCCGCTGACTCACATGCTGATGTCTTCTCGATGGTCCAGTCACTATGCTACGGCAGAAACAATCAAGTGGACATGCTTGAATTATGTGGGGGCAAGGGTGGTATATCCATATTAGCCTTCAAGAGAGGACTCTCGTCGGGCGGGAACCTTGATAAGATATCAATGGTCGACCTTGGAAACGCAGAAGTACAAAGGGCGGTCCTTCACTACCTCAAGACTTGCTTTGTCAAGATCACGATTCTGCAGCCAAACTGCAGAACTACTGGACTTCCTTCATACTTCAATGCACAGGTCAATCATGACACGTGGCTTAAACACCACAAGGAGGACCTGCCCCATATCACGTTCTGTGGAACAGTCGCTCTATTGCAAGACGACCTAAGACGTTTCTTTCTCAGGGAACAACCAATGGGCACGTGGGTGGATGAGATCCAGCCATGGAAGGAACTGGCACGACGCAAGGTCACTTGCCAAACGATTATTGATCAGTGCACGACTGGTCTCAAAGATTCGTTTGGACAATACATCCGCAAGCCAACACAGATGATGGCAAACAAAGAAGAGTTGTTGGCACCCTTCAGAGGCAAGCGTTGTCCAGGTAATCATGTGCACGCCAATGCTTGCAACAAAGAACTAGCAAGGGCGGCGCAGTATACCTACAGAATGCAGTCATTGATCGTCGATGCGGTGCAAACCGCCAAAGATCTGTTTGCTTACGGTCGCGATCCATTCGCGAATCGCGAACGCAGTTATGCGTTCGTAACAAACAGTGCTGGCTACGACTTGGACGACCCAACAATCCGGAGACACCCAAACGGAGAAATCTGGCGACCACCACCTGGCGGTCTTGGGTGCCATGGCTGTGTGGACAACAACTACAAGCAATCACCAAAGCACAGCAGGGATCCGAAGATGTGTCGGTGGTATGATGTTGAACCATACTATTGGGACTGTCCAAGCTGTAAGAAGGAATATCAGAAGAGTAATCCTCACCACACCAAGATATCTGGCCAATGCAGATTCGCCGAAAAATGGAAGCTGCCAGATAACTTTGGGCAGCCGCGCCCGGCGGGGCAAGCCGCTCCTGCGGCGCCAGCCGCGGAAGCGGCTCCAGCCGCAGAAGCGGCGCCAGCCGCAAAAGCGGCGCCGGCCGCGAGAGCGCGCATGCGCGCGCCTAGGCCGCCACGGCCCGGTGAGGGCGATCCAACCGCAGGCGCCAGCAGCCATGACATCACCAGAGCCGAAGGGGCCAATAGTAGCAACACTGGCGCTGGCAGCTCTGACGATCACCGTAGACTGCCGCAAGTGGCAGCAAGGCGCGGACGCATGGAAGGAGGTGATCCTCCACCGCCGCCGCAGCCTCCTGTAGAGCCGAGGCCAAGGCCAAGGCTTCCTGATTGGACTCGTTTCGATGTTCAGCTCAGCCTTCAAAACCTGCGCAGCTTTGACCCAGCTGTAGTGCAGCGAGAACTCCGCAAGCTTCACTTGAGATGGTTTCATGCCAAGGAACCAAAGATGCGGATGATTCTAGCTAAGGTCGGTTTGGGCGAAACCCGTTTGAGTCTGATTAAGGGCATTTGCGACTCGTGTAGAGAATGTCGTGCCTGGGACAAACCAGGCAACACGGTGATGCCATCTGTGTCACTGCCAGGACATTTCAACGAGGAAGTCGAATGTGATCTTTTCTTTTACAAACAGGAACATATTGTTTTTCACATCATCGACCGTTGTATTCGTTGGGCAGCTGGTACAGAGATCCCCGATAAGACTATGCACACTGTTCTCGATGCCTATCACACAACTTGGATGCAGCATGGCCCTGCCAAAGTCTTATACTCCGACGGGGAAGGAGCACTGAATAACGATACAGCAAAGGCCATCCTTAAATCCAAGGGAACAGAGCTTCGTATCCGAGCGCGTGGCCAACACGCCACGACTATCGAAGCTAGGAACGGCATCCTGCGACACCTCATACACGTGATGGGAGAAGAATTGAATAGATTGAATATTCCTCTGAATTTCACTCGTCTTTTACATGAAGCCATGCTTGCCAGCAATGCATTTACCTTCTACAACGGAGTTTCTCCGTATAATGCGTTATATGGCAGACAACCAGCTATGCTTCCCGATTTCCCTGTCTTGGATCATGATCAATCCGCTGAATCATCAGATCACTCAAGGGAGGAGACAATCAGGAGGGTTAGTCTGGAGGCAATCACGCAGGCCACTGCGGTTGCCAAGACAAACAGGGCTCTCCGTACGAAGACTACTGCTACGGGTGAATTTCACTACAAAGAGGGAGATCTCGTGGACTATCATCGCCCGACCACCACGAAAGACGACTGGGGTGGATGGAGTGGTCCATACCCGGTCATCCGCAACGAACCTGACCGAGGCCAGGTCATCGTGAAGGTCGGTAGTCGCGAAGTGCGAGTACAGTATCCTGACACACGACACACGCTGTACATCGAAGCACTTATGGTCCGCGAGATAGGATCGGACAATACGGCCCTTCGGACAGTATTGGCCTTTATTGCCGGTCTGCCAGCGGGGAAACCCGCCATGACTTTCGGATATCTACCAGCGAAACAGGGCCGGCTGCAGATGACTGCTGCGAGCCGGCTTTCGCCTAAGGTGCACTTGGCTCTTCAGTACCTCATACGCAACTATTTTCGTATTGAAAACGTTGTTGCTGTACGACTTGCCAAGAGCCTGACGAAGTTGCCTGCTGCACCCTATGCAGACAGCTGTACACTAGTGCACTATGATAATGATGTGACCCCTGGCTTTCATTACTATGAAGCTGATGGCACTGCCTTGAACATCTACGACATCACAGGATCTACACACTCACGCATCATCCAGTGTCTTAAATCCAAGAAGCCGCCTGCTGGATTTGACCGAGACCTCACTAAGTTTGAGGAACTCGCTGATGGTCCACCACCAAGCGAGTCACCTCCAGCAGCTGCTCCTGAGCAGCCTCCTGCGGAGAACGATGGTCGGCTCCCGACCATCATAGAGGAAACAGAAGAAGATCTGGATGCCTTTGTCTTGAAGTCGTGGTATGCTGAACTGATGGATGACAGAACACTCCTTGAAGCTGACACAGAAGAAGTCATGCATACAGTTCCCACATACATGACAGACACACAGTGTGTGTTAGTCTCTACGACCTGTGAAGATGTGCAAGGCCACTTGCCGGAGCGGGGTCGCCCGCCAGGATACGACATGGACACTTCTTACTACGTTCCTTTATGCTCCACGGATCCGGACAGTAAATATGATCTGGACTCCGATGAGCACGGGAAGTACATCGAGCTCTGCTTCACAGCAGACATGTCCAAAGTCGTCCTGTCCGAGCAGCAACGCCGATTGTTGGATGACAGCAGCGTCACAACTATGCGAGTATACGTTAGTGCTGCTTCCAAACGTGCCGTGGTCGTCAAGGAAGACGATCTACTCACGAAGGCCGACATCCAAGCAAATCCGGTCAAAGTTTCCAAAGCCCTTTACACAGAATTGAAGACTTGGCTTGACAACAAATGCTTCCAGATGACTGACTTGAGCAAAGCGTCTAACATCATGACTTCACGCTACGTATACAAATGGAAGTTTGTCAAGAACGAAAAGGGCGAAATGGAAAGGACGATCAGGTTACGCTTGGTACTCCGTGGCTTCATGGACCTTGAAGCCTTTGATGTCGAAACCTTCTCTGGCACGGCAAGGAGGTCAAGCCAGAGACTGCTCGCAAGTTCTGCTGCATGCAACAAAGCTTGGATCATCGCTTCCCTGGACATCAACATGGCTTTCTTGAAGGGACTGACCTATAGCGAGCTCGCCGCGGCAACGGGCGAGAAAGAGCGTGTGGTGTGCTTCACACTACCTCCTGGGTCAGCAGCTGTCCTTCGCACACTGCCAGGCTTTGAGTCATATGACGAATCAAAGCATTGTCTTCGGTGTCTGAAGCCGGGGACGGGCACGAAGGATGCTCCCAGGGCATTCTCGTTGAAGCTCAGGTCCATCACTAGGAGCTTTGGGCTACAGCCTACTTCATACGACGAAGAGTTCGAGATGAGCCCAAACCTCTTGACAGCCAAACACGTTGATGACATCAATATGACTGGGAAGGAAGATGCTATTGACAAGTATGTCAAGTGTGTTGAAGATACGTTTGGGAAGTGCAAACTGAACAAGCACACATACACAAACTGTGCCGTTCGGTACAACAAGACCGATGATGGGAGCGTCACTCTTGATCAGGACGAATACATCAAACAGCTTCGTCCTATCACACATCCAGAACTCACAGGAGCTGATCCTGAGAGCAAAGCGACAAAGACGATTTCTGATATGTTCGTCAGTCTTCGTGGCGCTCTAGCCTATGCGTTGATCACGCAGGTATGGCTGATGGTCTATGTTGTCTCACTACAACGTATCCAGGAACCGACAAACATCCAGGTACGACGACTATACGCGGTTACCAGGAAACTACAGGCAGGTCCGAAGAAGATCGTGTATCAAGCTATGGCCCCAACAGGAGAAGTCGACCTGCATAGCGATTCTGGCTATCGTCGTCTCAACGGAGATGAAGACGACGAAGTCGAAGGCTATGGTATCCGCGGGGCGAACCTGCTGAGGCGTGGCCACACGCAAGCGGGGAAACCCGTCGTACACCTGGTGGACGCATACTGCAAGTCTCATCGACTGCAGGTGCGTTCGAGCTACTCTGCGGAAACACTGGCAGCAGCCCACAACTTGGAAGACTGCTACCCGACCATTGTGGCGCTCCACGAGCTACACTCGGGACCATTGACTCCCGCACAGTTAAAGAACATATTGGAAATGGGTGGTCTATGTATCAAAGTCACTCTGACTATTGATGCCGAGTCTGTCTTCAAGTCTTTGTCTAGCAAAGATCTGAAGAAGCCCACAGAATGTACTCTGCTTGGGCACATTAGCTGGATCCGCCAGATGATGGAGCGCGGAATCGTTGAAAGCGTTCAATGGTGTGACACGCGGGATATGACTGCCGATGGTCATACCAAAGGTAGTATTGACCGCGCGTTGCTCCTACAAGTAATGGCCGGCCAGCAATCCTTCAAGCACGAGCTGAAGAAACATACTCCGTATAGGGCGGGCAGGTCGTCTCAGGACGGCCCTGCCTCCCGAGCTAGCGGGGAAACCCGCATGCAGGTGCGCTCTAGTAGCGAGGAAACTCGCCGGTAGCGAGGCTACTCGCGCGCCCTTGCCTTGTAGGCAGCCGCTGCTGCTTAGCACTGTTTTTCCGCGTAATGTAGAAGTGCGGTGCCTGCTCGTCTCCTCCCCCTCCGACTTTAAACGGAGAAGGTTAAAGGCGAGGTATAAATCGAGCATGTACCGCTGCCGTGCCTGGCTCAAGCCGGGCCCGGCCAAATATATGACTGTGCCTCACCGAGGCGCACGACTGGTATCTGAGATCGGAAAATACCTTTTCCATTGAAGATGCCCCTTCTATCCTTTACTCCAGATCCCATGCTTCGTCTCGCTCTCTTGCTCATGCGATATGAGCCAAAGCCTGGGATATGGCAACGCTTGAAGCGTAACACATACCTAGGCTTACCAGCATGTTTTCGACTTCTTAGGGCGATATTGGAGGCCTCTTGGGCCGTCTTGGGGCGTCGCGATGCCGAAAAGGTGGAAACGCCAAAAGCTTCCCCAAACCTTGGAAGAACAATGAACTTTGCCTCTTGGGGTCCTCTTGGGAGTGCTCTTCAAAGCCTCGTGGGGCGTCTGGGGGCTATCTCGAGGGCCTTTTGGGGGCCTCCTGGGGCTTCAACGGGGCCTCTTGGCGCCTCCTGGGGGCTGCTTAGGGTCGAGGGCTCGAAATGCTGTTTCGTGTTCCCCCTCTGGGGCTTCTCTTAGAGCGTTCTTGGAGTCCTCTTGCTCTTGGGCCGTCTTGGGGCCCTATCAGAGGCCTCTCGGGCCTCTTAGGGCGATCTTGGGTGCCTCTTGGGCCGTCTTGGGGCGTCGCGATGCCGAAAAGGTGGAAACGCCAACATCTCCCCCACACCCAAGGAAAACAACAATGATTTTTTCCTCTTGGGGCCCTCTTGGGGGTGCTCTTGAAAGCCTCGTGGAGCGTCTGGGGGCTATCTCGAGGGCCTTTTGGGGGCCTCCTGGGGCTTCAAAGGAGCCTCTTGGCGCCTCCTGAGGGCTTCTTGGGGCCGAGGGCTCGAAATGTTGTTTCGTGTTCCCCCTCTGGGGCTTCTCTTAGAGCGTTCTTGGAGTCCTCTTGGGCAGTCTTGGAGGCCTCTTGGGCCGTCTTGGAACCCTCTTGGGCCGTTTTGGGGCCCTGTCGGATGCCTCTCGGGCCTCTTAGGGCGATCTTGGAGGCCTCTTGGGCCGTCTTGGGGCGTCGCGATGCCGAAAAGGTGGAAACGCCAAGATCTCCCCCACACCCAAGGAACACAACAATGAACTTTGCCTCTTGGGGCCCTCTTGGGAGTGCTCTTGAAAGCCTCGTGGGGTGCTCGGGGCTATCTCGAGGGCCTTTTGGGGCCCTCCTGGGGCTTCAAAGGAGCCTCTTGGAGCCTCCTGGGGGCTTCTTAGGGCCGAGGGCTCGACATGTGGTTTCGTGTCCCCCCTTTGGGGCTTCTCTTTTTTCTCCTTGCTGTTAGAAGCGGGTCCCCCGACAACCTCATCGCAAGCTGACATGATCTAAACAATCAAGCATGAATCACAGATCTTCACCTCTGAAATGCCGGTACAATTTTTGGGCAAGGTCGCTGATCTCTGCTTTGTCTCGGGTTCCCTTGGGATTCACTTTCCAAGACCAGCCGCCCTCGTCCCATCTCCATGGCCGCCCAGCGGTTGCCCTGAGACCGACCCTTCTCCATTTTGCGCCCTTGTTCGGTGCAACTGCTCTCATTGTCTGTAGCCATTCTGAGTTTCGCTCTCTCCAAGCATGTGCAGCAATCGAGTCCTCGTGTCTCTGGATGTGGCTCAACCAAGAAATCGCCGACTTAAGAAAAATGTGAGACCATGGTCGATCAATGGTATCTGATATCTCCCTGTTTCTTTTCCTCCGGATTTGGGGTCCTCTTCGGCCGTCTTGGAGGCCTCTTGGGCCGTCTTGGAACCCTCTTGGGCCGTCTTGGGGTCCTGTGGGCGATCTTGGAGGCCTCTTGGGCCGTCTTGGGGCGTCGCGATGCCGAAAAGGTGGAAACGCCAAGATCTCCCCCAAACCCAAGGATCAAAACAATGAATTTTGCCTCTTGGGGCCCTCTTGGGGGTCTCTTGGGGCTCCTTGGCGGCGTCTTGGGGGCCCCCAGGGCTTCTTGGGGGGCTCTTGGAGGCCTCTTAGGGCGGGAGGGGGGGTAGTCGATTGCGGCTCCCCCCTCGGAGGCCGCGATCCTCGTGAGGGGTGTCGAAAAATGACCCTCCCCTGGAGTACTCTGGTGGCTCCTCCCGGGACCTTGCCGGGTTACTTTTCGTCCGGGGACCCCAGGGGCCGACTCGAAATATTGTGAACCAGTTACCGGAGATCTCAGCACGCCTCTGGCCCGTTGGGCCGGCGAATTTACATGGAGTGTAGATGAATGTGGAAGAGGACAATGTTGATACAGAGTAAGCACATTGGAACATGGGGGACACCAGGATGTGGTGGAGGAGGAGGAGGAGGAGGAGGAGGAGGAGGAGGAGGTGGAGGAGGAGAAGGTAGAAGGTCTTGCTCGCGGAGGCTTCCAGAGGCTCTCGGGGTGGCTTGGTGGTGCCCAGAGTTTTCGGTGGAGGAGAAGGGCGCGCGGGGATGGGAGGAGAGATCTCTCCTGCGTCTCCAGGTCCTGCTCGTGCCGCTTCTCCTTCACCATTCTTCTCCGCTCCCAAGCTCCCTCCGCCGCGCTCCGAACCCAGTACCACGTGGCCAGCGGGCAGATCTATCAGTTCGAGAAGGAGCTTGAGCCTCTGACGCTGCCTTCTCTGCGTTTTCTGCTTCCTTCTCCCGTGCCTTTCAGCTCCTCTGCTTCCCCTCGAGGCCCTTGGTCCTCCACTCCACTCACCCTCGCACCTCTCCTATTTTCTGGTCCTCCACCATATCCTCTGCTGTCCTCTCTCTCGTGTCTCGTCTTCTCCTTCCTGACCTCTCTCATGACTCCTCGTCTCCTCTCTTGCCCGTTACGTTTCATGTTTCTGTTTATCTTTCATGGCTTCTCCTATCCTCTTCATCCGTATCCAATGTTTTCATTTTCTTTGCTTGGCAGTGTAGTCCTGAGGGTTTCGCCCCTGCCGCGGACACCCTCTGATTGCCTGCTTGGCTACTATTGTTCGGTTTGCCTGTCTGTTGGCTTTTGGGTTGGCAGACCGGTTACCCCAAATCAACGATTAACAGTTTCTCCCGAGTGCTACAGGGGATCGTGGCCTCGGGAACACGGGTGCGTCGCAATTCTGTAAGAATCGTGGCCTCGGGAGCGTGAACTGGCTGTAGTTTGTGACGGGTCGTAGTCTCGGCATCGCGGGTTCACAGTACATTTACGTGCTCCAGGGCTCCCATACATTCCGGGGATTTGATGCGGTGTTAGAAGAGGCTCTTTGGTAACGCCGCATCAGGTCCCCAGAAGGAGCCACCCCGAGGAGCGACTCCGCGCGAAATTGGAAAGGTGGCGGCTGCCACTTTTCCCTCGGCTGCAGGCATCCCGCGCCGCTGCCGTGCTGCGGCGCTTGCCACGCCTGGTGCCACCGAAAGTGATCGCAGTGCTGCGCACGTGGTTCAATGGCTGGTGCACGGCGCGGCGATTCCAATCCCGCGCGCGCTGCATTATCGGCTGCGCCATGGGCGAAGACGCAGTGGACCACTATATCGGCTGCCCCGACGTCACCAACACGGACGACACTGGCTCTGGCTTGGGGTCCCGCGGTCTTTCGAGGATCGCGGCGTCAGCTTCCTCTTGCTCGAGGAGTCAACCCAGCTGCCGGTTGCAGTGTTGGGCAGGCGTGCTATCCTGCTTGCGGCTGCGTGCAAGCTGCATTGCCAGGTCCGCCGCAGCCCGCAGCTCTCCGACGGGGAGGTGCTGCGGCGAGCTCGAGATCAAGCTGTCAAAGAAGCCGCGGGAGGGCACGCCGTGTCCGTCAGGATCTTGGACAGCACCTGGGCCGACTGAGGTCCCTGGCACGCGTGAGGGCTCTCGTCTACCTCCTCCCCTTGTCTTTTTCTTCCTGCCCCTTCCGCAGTTTCTCCCGTCTGGTCACGCAGACCGGGTGGGCGGTGGCATGTGGAGCCTTGGACGCGCCGCAGTTGACAGGCCCCCTCCCCTTCTCCTCGCCCTCTTTGCCCTTCTTCAATTGCTGCTCCTCCTCCTTTCCCCCCTCCGTCAGGTGTTGATTTTTACGTCTGGCGGGAAGTCTGGTCCGAAGGCTCACGGCGTTTTTGCTTCCAGTGGGTCGCATCGCAGTTGTGGCTCTAACTACCTTTTTCTTCCAGTGCATTACGTCGCGCGCGCGCCACAGGCGTGGCGTGCAGACAGGAGGTCTGGACCAAAGGATTACCGAACGAGCGCTGTAGCGTTAGAGTCCAGTGGCAGCATGAGTAGATGTGTTCCTGTGCAAGTGGTCTAGGAGGGCTGGCCATCGCATTTGTTCCGTTTGTGCTTGCATTCGACATAACGCGAGCGCCGACGCGCAGTCGTGCAGATAGCTGGCACATCCTGCTGCGCAGATGGGTGCGCAAGGACCCCCCTCTCCTCTCTTTCCTCCCGCGCTCGCCTCCCAGGGGCGGAGCTCTGGCTATCCCCGCCGGTGTGGGCCAGATCTTCGCCTCCTCCTGTTTCTTCCTCGCCCCCCCCCCGGCACCTCGTGAATCGGGGCGCTGTGGCCCGGGCCTCTTCTGGCAACGTCAAGTATCTCGGACGCAAGCTCACCTTTGACGGGCCCGGCGAAACAGAGCTTGACGACAGAATTTCAATGGGTTGGAGAAAGTTTATGGTGTATCAGCAAGAGCCAACCAATAGTGGATACTCTCTACGGATCGTCTGCGGCTCTTTGACGTATTCGTCGGGCCCACGGTGCCATAAGGCGCAACGACTTGGACGATGACAGCATCTATGGAGTGGAAACTGCAGAAATGTCGACGGCGAATGTTACGGCTGATTCTTGGACACCAGCGGCGGCGAATATGGACGGCCAGCGCAGCAGATGGAAAATTATAGCTGTGGGTTGATTGGACAAAACGAGCAACACGTGCAGCCGAGGCGACAATGGTGCATATGCAGTTCGATTGGTGGACAGTTGCGTAACGGAGGGCGACATGGAAATGGGCAAAACGTGTGCGAGAGTGGTTGTTGTGTCGGAACCTCAACGCACGGCAACGAAGATTCTGATCAGATCACAAGGTAGACCCAGCAGCCGGTGGGCGGACGATGCTCCATATTCTTTAGAGGTCGCTTGGTTGCAATAGTCGTGGTTGGATTTTTCTGGAGATTGGGACGAGCCAAGATCGATGAGCGCACGTGAGGGCAGAACTGATCCCAGAAGTGATCGAGGACCAAGAGGGGAAGGGTCGATGAAGGGCCAAGACCTTGGGAGCCAAGAGGAGAGTCTCGCGCAGTTCACCAAGATCGCGTGAGGGCCTCGGCCCGTGCGCACCGCCCCTCGCGGGTCGGCCTCCGGCTGGACTCTGTGCGCGTGCTCGTGTTCGTGCTCGTGTGGCCCGGGCTTCCTCCAGGTCGGCCAGAGACCGCGTGCTGCTCTGTGACGCTCGGCGTAGCGATCCGCCTCCCTTCCTGTTTTTGCTCCTTTCTTCTCGTCTCTAACGGTGCATCGGTTTATTTAGGCGTGCTTTCTTGCGGGACACTCGATGTGGCAGCGCACCGGCTCCGTGACGCGAGTTATATAACTGCGGTGTTCGACGGTCCGATGGCCTCTGGCCCTGCTGCGTGGCCGATTGGCGTGCGCGGCAGTTTTCCCTCCTCCTTCCCCTTCCTCTCCCTCCTCCGTCTCCTCCCCCCCCAGTCCCTCCTTGGACTTTCAGTTTCTTTTCTCCGGGCTGTCTGAAGCGCGTATCCCAGGGAGTGGGGCTCGTGCGAGTGTCGCTGGACCTCTCGTGGCGCCCTCGTCATCCCATGGAGTGGGATTCGTGCTCGTGTCTGTTTTTGCCCCCTCGCCGCCCGTCCGTCTTCCCTTCCTCCTCCTCCTCCCCCCGCGGCCCGGGCTAGTTCTCCACTCGTTGCTTGCGGACTTTGCAGCGCTGTGGCCCTGCCTTTTTCGCTGGCGGTGAGCGTCTTCGCGACGCCCCAGTCTGAACTGGAGGCTGGTCTGGGGGACGTCTTTGCATTGCGTTTCTCGTTCGCTTCGTTCGGAAGTTGCTTGGCTGAGTTTCGCCCGCCCTCATTATATACACTTGATTACTTGACTCGGGCACTCTAAGTCTGTGGCTCTGGTTCCAGCTGCCGTCGCATCGCGTCGTCTTCTGATTTCTGAGTTGTGGCTGCGTAGGTCGCTGGGGATCATGACCCAACGAGTTGACGTCCCAATCCGGGGGCAGTTGCAAATTAGTTTCCTTTATGTTTTCCTTCCCCCTTCCACTCCTCCTCCTCCTCCTCCTCCTCCTCCTCCTCGTGCTCCTCCTCTCCCCTCCTCTTGTGGCTGGTGGCTGTTCGCCTCCGGCGTGGGCCAGGGTGTTAATCAGCCGTTGTGCGTGACTGCCGTTGACAGCAAGCACGCTGCCCACACTCCCCCCTCCTTGTCCTCCTCGTTCTTCCGCCTTCCCCGTCTCAATTGCGCCAGCGTTCTCGTTTCAGCCGGGGGGGAAGGGCGATAACGGTCCTGCGGCAGGACAGCTTGCCGACTCCCCTGTCTCAGTCCATTTCTCGGCAACGCTTCGTGGAGTGATCGCTGCCGGAGAAAATTATTCTGGCGAAGGATCCAATCATATGAAGTTGAGAGCACCGCCCTTGTGAATATCTTCTTCGGTGGCGCTCCCTATGGGGTCACGAAGCGCTGCACTGGGGGGGACGGTACGTATGCGGGCGGTAGCACTGGGGCCGTCGGTGGAGTTCAGAATGGGGCCACGAAGCGCTGTTTTCGGTGGGGGGACGCATGCGGACGGTAGTATTGGGGCCGTCGGTGGACCTCCCTATGGGGCCACAAAGCGCTGTACTGGGTGGGGCGGGACGCATGCGGGCGGTAGCACTGGGACGCCTGGTGGGGCTCCCTATTGGGCCACGAAGCGCTGTACTGGGTGGGGGGGGCGCATGCGGGCGGTAGCGCTGGGACTTTCGGTGGAGTTCCGTATGGGGCCACGAAGCGTTGTATTGGGTGGGGAGCTCCCCCATTGGGGCCTCCGGGGGAGTTCCTTATGGGACCACGAAGCGCTGTACTGGGCGGGGGGACCGCATGCGTGCATCCCCGCTGGGGCCGTCGGGAGAGCTCCCTATGGGGCCACGCAGCGCTGCACTGGGTGGGGGGAACGCATGCGGGCACCCCCACTGGGGCCTTCGGTGGAGCTTCTTGTGGGGCCACGAAACGCTGCAGTGGGTGGGGGGGACGCATGCGGGCCCCCCTCCTGGGGCTTTTGGTGCGCTCCCTATGGGGCCACGAAGCGCTGTACTGGGTGTGGGGGACGCATGCGGGCGACGCATACGGGCACCCCCAGTGGGACCTTCGGTGGAGCTCCCTATGAGGCCACGAAACGTGTGAGAGGTGTGCCAAAGTGAGTGGGATGACGGGAGGAGGGAGGAGGAGGAGGAGGAGGAGGAGGAGGAGGAGGAGGAGGAGGAGGAAGAGGAGGATGAAGAGGAGGAGGCGGAGGAGGAGGAAGAGGGGGCAGCGGGAGGAGTGGGACGCGGGGCGCTGTCTCTTCAAAACGAAGATCCAACACCACAGGGTGGTTGGGACAAATAATGAGGCTCCTTTGTGGTGGGTAGTTGGGTGCGTTCTGCAAATTTCCAACCCTGGAACGA